GACCCCTTTTTCCTCTCCAGAGGGCACTGCTAGCAGGCCCCACTTCACAGCCACATCAGAGTCCTCTGCTCATGAAAAGAAGGAGCCTCAACCACTGAGCACAAGAGGGCCATTTGTTTCAAGGGCCATTAACGAAGCAACCCCACTTTTTCAGCCAGAGAACAAAACCAACAACTGGAGTCAAACAAAGAAATTTAAAGAGCTCTGGGTGCTATCGGCGAAGGACTTCAGCCATTGAGGGAACTACAGAGAGTGGGTGGGGGGCGGTGGGGGGAAAATCTGAGGTCACTGCATCCCAATCAGACAGCATCATGCAGGAAACAGATGTGCAACAAACCACAGAAGGGTACAGCAGCAGGAGAATTAACTCTACTGCAAATGGGACAAGATGGGACACAGAGCAGCTCCTCCAGTCTTGGAACAAGGGGGTTATCTGAAGCTTTTCTGTTTTTTTTCTTGAGAGAGAGAGTTTCTGGTTCTCCCAGTTGCAGAGAAAAACTGGACATCGTGAGCTGAGTGCACCCCAAAAGCTCAGAAACCAGAAGGCAAAGAAAAAAGCCCCATGTTTGTCATTTTAGAAAATCTCATGATTTTTAAACCAATCTCATGTTTTGGGGCAGCCGACTCATGATTATTGAATGCTTAGGACTGGCAGTACTGGTTTATCCCCACAAAAGGTACAGCGCCCTCTGTCACCCTCCAGTCAACCAATGTGCTTCATTTCTGCCCCAGAGGGATCACCTCTAAGGGTAAAAGGGGAGTTCAGACACCCCACCCACTCAGTTGAGACGGTCAAGGAAGGCAGGAAGGATCAAGTGTGGTGATAATAGGAACCGGATTGAGACCCAGCAAATACATTTCACACAAGCAGAGGTGAAAGTAAGCCGGTACAGGATATCGGTAAGAAAATGGCTGCTGGTACACAGCCAACGTTCAAGCGCTGCCACAGCAGTGCTTTAAGCACTGTACCCACAAAAGGGGCAGTGTCCCAGGGCCCGGCAATTTAAAAGGGCCCGTGGCTCCCAGCAGCAGCCAGAGCCCCAGGCTCTTTAAATCACCACCAGAGCCCCAGGCAGCATGGGCCGGGCAGCACTGAAGGGTTGCCTGGGGGAGTCTGGCCCCAGCCCCGCCTATTCCGACTGAGGCCCCGCACCTTCTGGGGGCCAAGAGCCTTCCCCCCAACCTTGTCCAGGACCCGGCCACGCTGCGTACCAGTAAGTCCTTTAAGTTACTTCCACCCCTGCACACAGGCAACCAACCAGACATCAAACAGCAACAACTTTCAGCCCCTGCTGATCCATGCTGGACTTGAAGAATTATCCTAGAGGAGAAATGCACAGTATCACATTATCAATGCCCTGAGCCATCCATTATACCTGCTAACATATTTTGACTCTCTGCCCTTATTTAATAATACTACTTTGTACTTTTACACCAACTTTCATCCTATGATTTTAAAGCACTTTACAAGCAATTGTTAATTAAGCCTTAGGTATAGTAGGTAAGGAATACAGAAGCATCTTCTCATCCACCATTAAAATACAGCCATCTCTGGGGTGGAATGTAGTAGCTGTTTAACAATTAAGGACAAAAAACTATAGAAGGAGAAAAGTTAATACCTTAAGCAAAATATAATTTTCTCCATTGGAATTTGGTAAGGACATCAGGACTAAAGCCCTTACAAAAAACACCACTGGCTCTTAAATGAATTGACCACAAGAATTCAGGAGCTCAGTATTATCTCTCATCTGAAAAGCAGCACCCCATTATTTGAGGACTTCAGTAACTCAGCCAGAGGTTAGCGTTCTTTACAAGGTGGGATGAGTAAGGCTCTGTGGCCTGAGATTGCAGGAGGTCAGACTGCCTGATCACAATGGTCCCTTCTGGTCTTAAATTCTATGAGCACAGCACCCCTGAAGAGCATGCTGAGTTAATGATTATGTACTGACCCAGAGGGAAGAAAACCATAAAGAATTGCCAGCTCTACATCCTGCAGCACCCAGATGTTCCTTAGAGATCTCCCTTCCAAGCACAGAGCTGGTCTAACACTCACTGGTTTATGAGAGCTTGTGGAATCACTGCACAAGGCAGCTTTGCAAGCTGGGAAAAAGCCACTCTGTGTGAAGTAGAACCAGTTTGAGTTGGCTCCAGTCCCTTCTACACCCTTGCCTGCTGTTCCAATTAATCCTTCTGAGTGCATTTGAAAATCTGCTTTCACAAAGTTCCACATTAGAATGTCTTTTCTGGACACCAATCAAAGTGCTCCATCCCCATGTCCTGACTACCAGATGCTCTGGACCAGCACCTCGGTCCCATATTGCTTCTGAATAGGCAATAGCTAAAGCCAGCATCATTCCCCCCCAAAACGTACTCACACCCTCTAGGATCCTGCCTGCACAGGAGAGAAAGTTATCTCCTATTACCTCCACAAAGCCCCTGCCTGCAGGGATACTGGCTTGTTCCTGCAGCCAGTTGATTTTTGGATAGTTAAATTGTCCCACTGACAATTATCTTCCATGCCTTCACAGCCCTTCGAATTTCATCCCATAGTTCCAATTAGAGGAGAGCTGCAGGCTTGTAAACCCATCAGTGACATTTGGCCCCCTCATTGCCCTCACAGTCACTCTGATAGATTTTATTTCATGAGTATTGATCCTGCTAATAGAGGAATGAATGCTCCCACGTCTCTTCCATCCTCCCCTAGCCCTCTCATTTAACTTCTACCCTATGATCTAACTCATATCCTTCTAAAAGAATATATAACAATTGGGCCTTTCATTTCTGAATCATACAGCACTGGGCAATGTGACATACTATTCAAAAAATAACACAGTATTATATAAGAGAAAGGGATATCCACATTTTCCCACATTGCTTTTCAAGACAGACCATGTAAGTAGATTGAATTGTGAACCATCCTACAAATGACACCTAAGACAAGGTCATCACCACTCATTGTCATAAAAAAACAACCCACTGTATTTTTTGTAATAAACGCTTGCTTTTTAGTCCAGCTGCCCTGGCCTAATTTCACCTGGGACAATGCTGTTCTTTCCCTCTAAATTGCCTCAGCAGTTTCCACTGGATATGCTTGCTCTTTCCTATCCTAAACTGTTGTGCAGCGTTGCTATGAGCTGCTGTAAACAGCTCCTCACCAGAGGTGGCTGCTGGGGTGATGGGTGGAATTCACTAGCACACATAATTCGTGTATCAATGTGTTATGTTTGCAAAATGATTTGTTTTAAAATGTGTTATATTTGTTTGCTGTTTGGAGCATTGGGCATTAAGGCACTGTATACGTAGAAGATATTGTAAGTACTTAACATTACTGCTGATTTGCATTGTAAACGGTCTTTTGCACTAACCAGAGAGATGCACATATGTAACATGCACATGTATATGAATATCACACACACATATATAGCACATCTTTCATGTGTGATAGAAAAGATTTACTACATAATCTAGTCTATCTCTCTGCCAAGGCAGGCATGTTAAGTACATCATTAATCATCCTAATCATCATAGAGTGAAAGACCCAATTGTAAGGCCCACCCTACATGGAGCTGACGTTGCTGCAAGAGCTCTGTCACTCAGAGTAGCCCGAATCTGGGGAAAGTAACTCAGTAACTGGAACATTATGCTAACTTAGATGGAGGAGCTGGGGCAGACACATATTTATTCTTTCCCCATCTACTTGGCAAGCAGAGACTATCTGTTGAGGTCTCAGCTGCTTCTCCCATCATCCCATCCCTCTTTTAAGAAATCAGCTCTTTTTCTTTCCTCATCCCAAACCAGTCATTTAAAAACCAAAACCCTCTGACTTTACTGCAGCCACCCCCAGTCTGACCCACCACATGCAGGACCAGCTCTAGGCACCAGCAAAGCAAGCACGTGCCTGGGGCGGCACATTTCCAGGGGCGGCATTCCGGCCATCCTTTTTTTTGGGGGGCAGTTGCGCTTTCAGAGCTGCGCCACTTAGACGGGGCGAGGGCGCCGCGCCTCCGGCCACAGCGGGAAGGGGAAGCCCCAGCCCCAGGATGCTGAGCTGCCAGGGCACAGCCGCTACCTAGGGAGAAGAGGGCGAGTCCTGCCGGGAAGCCGGGGCTGCGCCACCTCATCTGCACACTGGCTGCTGCGCTGCCTTGTGCCACCCCTTGTATTGGGGCTTCTCTGCGCAGCAGGTGGGGGAGGGGGTCAAGCCCCTGCAGGCGCTGGGAGAAGTTGACATCACTCCCTCCGCTTCCAGCGCCGCCTGCGAGCCCCAGCCCCACCTGAGCTTGGGGCGGCAAATTTTTTGCTTGGGGTGGCAAAAAACCTATAGCCGGCCCTGACCACATGCTCATCTGAAAGCCCAGAAGGAGGAGAGGCAAGGACAGAGAGAGACCAAGCAAGGATGTGGTTATATGATCTCAGCTGACCCCCTGAAGCCCCACACACGTCCCTCCCTCATCCCTTCTGTCCTTGCCCAGCACAGCAACAGAAAGAGGAGATGGGAGCCTTACTGGACATAGGGATGAGGGGCGTTCCGGGTTCCTCTTTAAGACCCTGTTGTGTGGGTGCTGAGTGCCCTCTCCCCCCATGCTTCATTTGGAATGAAAGAGTTGCCCGGGCTCAAGCAATTAGGCAGCAGGTCCCAAGCAAGTTTTTCACATTCATAAGGGATGTGGCAAGCGCAGAGGTGCCGGGGCTATACAGTGCCAAGCCTAGAGGTGAGTTAAGCACTGACCCATGGACTTCAGTGGCAATTCAGAGCCTGGAAGGAGCAGACCCTAGGCGTGACCCTGGCTTGCCAACCTGGAGCCCTTGGAAAGCAGGATCAGCCCCTTCTCCCCCGACACACCCAGTCTCCCCGGCCCGGCTCGCCCCACCCTGCAGGAGGAGGTCAGGCAGCAGCGAGCTTTCCGGCCGTTCGCTGCGGCCGCCCGTGCCCGGAGATCCCACATGCCGCGGCCGCGGCCCCGGCCCCGGCCCTCCCCAGGGCCTGAAGAGGCGATTACCATCCTGCCCCGAGCTCTCCAGGTGCTCCGTCAGGTCACAGCCGAAGGCGCCCGCGGCTCCCTTCCTCTTCGGCTTCGGCTTCGCTCCCTTGTTCTTCATGAGTTGGTCCCGCCAGCGGCTCGCCCCGCTCCGGCCGCCGCCCCGCGCGCTGCCCCTCACACCGCCGCCCCTGCCCCGCGCCCGGGGCGGGACACGGGGGCTCCGGCCGCAGCGCTCCGCCGGCAGGTCCGGGCGAGACGGGGCTGCCCGGCAGGCAGGCGGCCGCGGCGCGCACAGCCCGGGCCCGGCGGGCTTCTCATCAGCGGGGGCGGCGCCGGAGCGGTGCCCGCGGCGGAGCTGGACGACGGGGCGGGGGCGCTCCTCGAGCAAACCCCGCCCGGTTCCTCGGCGCCCCGCTAGCTGGGGCGGGAGGGGGACGGACCGCAGCACCCCGGGCAGAGGCCGAGCGAGCCGGCGGCCCCGCTCTCTCGCCTCCGGGAGCGGAGTGAGGAGCCCGCTTCCTGCCCTGGCTCCTCCGGCTGCCGCCTTCCTCCCCCCCCCCCCGCGCCGCCGCTGCGGGGACGCTCCAGCCCAGGAAAGGCTGGAAGGAAGTTGGCCGGGGAGGAGGCGGGGGGGGGGGGGGGCGGAGAGAGGAGCTGGTGGGGGGGGGGGTGTCCTGACAGATAACGGGCCGGCCTGAGAGCGGGCGCTGCCTGGGCCACCAGCGCTCCGCCTCGGGGAGGCCCGGGGGGAGGAGAGACCAGACATGGCTTCGATCAGTGCCCGGCTCCGGTCACTGGTTCCTCTCTCCGGAGCCCTCTCCCGCCGGGACGCTTCCCTCCCGGAGACGCCAGTGCTAGAGCTCTGCAAGGGCCGGGGGAGGGGTCCCTTCCCCCGCAGAGAGCAGAAACAGATGCTGCTGGGCTCCTACGTTCATGCCCTTTGGAGTCAATTGCCAGGAAAGGCTCCTTTGGGGCTTCCCCGTGAAGGGAGTTGGAGGCAAGGAACCGAAATCTCCCCAGGGGCTGGGGAGCACACAGCTGGGGGCCTGGAGTTCAGCTCAGACTGCCACCCGTGCCCCAGCCCAGCGTTGGCGGGGCTGCCTGGCACAGACGCACAGTCTGTCTCGCCAACAGAAGTTGGGTGTAGGTGCTGGAACCGGGGGTGCTGCTGCAGCCCCCGGCTTGAAGTGGTTTTCATCATATACAGGGTTTACAGTTGGGTTCAATAGCTCTCAGCACCCCCACTACACAAATTGTTCCAGCACCCCTTATTGGGCCAATAAAAATATGACCTCACTCACCCATCTTGTCTCTCTCACAACTAATCGTGCTAATAATAAAAACATAAGAACGGCCACAGTTGGTCAAACCAAAGGTCCACCTAGCCCAGTATCCTGTTTTCTGACCGGGGCCAAGCCAGGTGCTCCAGAGAGAATGAACAGAATACAGCAATCATCAAGTGATCCATCCCCTGTCACCCATTCCCAGCTTCTGGCAAACAGAGGCTAGGGACACCATCCCTGCCCATCCTGGCTCATAGCCATTGATGGACCTATCCTCCATGAACTTATCTAGTTCTTTTTTGAACCTTGTTATAGTCTTGGCCTTCACAACATCCTCTGGCAAGGAGTTCCATGCATTGACTGCGTTGTGTGAAAAATCTGCACTTCTGTTGCACCTATCTTCCCAGGCTCTCCAAATGCTTTACATAGGGGGTAAACTAGAGGGTCAGTAGGCTTTGTTGCTTATGTAGGCCCAGCTGTACACCCAGCCTGCCCCCCCCCCAACTCTACTCAGTTTTGATTAATTTGATTAATTAATTTTTGATTAATTTTTGAACTATGTTCCAGTAAATTCAGGTTTTTCTAGTTTCCCCATTTTTATCAAAATCAATAGGACTCTGAGCTTGGGGAGAGGGGTGGTCATGAGAGGTTCAGCTAGAGTGAGACCTGATTGGAACTGGGGTATCAAGGGGTCCAGCTGAGGGGGGTGGGGGGCTGGCCATAATGCGGTGAGGGGCTCACCTTCCCTAACTTAGTACTCACCCTGAATTCAAAGTGACTCTGTTGCCCACCCACAGGCTTCTGTGGGCATCTGTACACTGAAATTAAACACCCGAGGCTGGCCCATGTCAGTGGACTTGGGCTCACAGGGCTATAAAACTGCCGTGTAGATGCATGGCTTGGGCTGGAGCCCATGCTCTGGGAGCCTGCAAGGGGGAGGGGCCCAAAGCCCAGGCTCCAACCCAACCCTAAATGTCTACACTGCAATTTTATAGCCATTTAGCCTGAGCCTGCAAGTCTGAGTGAGCTGACACACGCCAGCCATGAGTGTTTTATTGCAGTGTAGAGACATCCCCTATGAGGCCACTGACTCATCTCTTATCCTGAGTGACCAACTAGTGATTTTAATTGAAATCAGACTTTTCTGGTCTTCAGATTGTCACCAAAATCAATAGGGTTCCACCCATTGATGCCTAGACTATTCCCTGAAATATTAGAACTGATCAGCTGCAGCTTTAAAAGGTTATCCTGTTACACATGGTTAGACAGAAAAACACCATCAAGTTGTGTGTAGGACCTCACTTTGCTTACCCAATTAATCTCATTCCCATTTTACAGCTAGAGAAACTGAGGCACAAAAAGAGGAAATGACTGCTCCACAGACAAACAGGAAGTCAATTTCAGAGCTGAGAATGGTACTCAACTCTCCTGATTCCCAGCCCTCTGCTCTCACCACGAGCTCACAGTGCTTCCAGAGCCAGAATCTGGAACTCCTGACTTTCTACTTCCTGCTCTCACTACTAGCCTCCTCTCTGTTCCCTTAGTGCTAGCCTGGCTTGCAGAAGATTTGAAACATCCTGAATTTATTCTGGGCTTCTTGCAACACCTTGATGTTGAGTCAATACATCAGGATCTGCTCTATAACATAATGCTACAAACACATCACACACCACAGCAACATCTTGCTGCAAAAATTCATATACTGTGACTGATGAGAGGCAAACTTCAAAAGGGCCCAGTGGCTGGTTCATACAAAAAGACACTAGGATGCAGATGTTTCTCTGAATCTCATTCAAACCAGCTGCTGGCTGACTTCTTTAGGAAGAGAAAGCCCATCTGGGTGGCTTCAAAGGAAGCATTTCCTTCCACACACAACAGCTTCTTCTTGAGGGGCTGAGGAGCTCTGACACTATTGCAGAAGGCTGGACTTATGTGCAACATGTTTCATTTGTCTGTATCTTACACCATGTCCAGTGATCCAATTCTGAAAGGTATCGCCACCTGCCTTCTCTCAAGATCTTTGCTAGACTCTTCTGCCAGAGTTACAGGATGTCCAGATCAAGACATCTCCAAAATAAGGTTGATGATGATTGTCTACTATCAACCCCCATGGTACAGACAGTTTAGTCCCTGCTGCCTGCTAATCTGCCGTGCAAACTACACACAGAAGAGAGGGGAGAATGATGGAAAAAACACTGAGGAGTTCTTGGGCTTCCTTACAGAAGGCCAGATCCTGACGGTCTGAGCGGTTACCAAGTCCTTATTCGGTCCCAATCTCAGTGGATTCTTTAGGGGCTTCAGCTGAGTAAAAACTGACTAAGTTCACCAGAATTTGGGCCGGGGAGGTGCTCCTCTGAGCACTCAGATTTTGATACCTTTGCTCGTATTCAGTCATTCTTGAATAGTACCTTAATCCACAACCTAGCCCCAGTGAAGTCAAATGGGGCTAATGGTGAAGTAAGGCAGTGGTTCTCAACCAGCAGTCTGGGGCCCCTGCAGGGACCGCAAGCAGGTTTCAGGGGGGCCTCCTAGCAGGGCCAGCATTAGACTTGCTGGCACCCAGGGCAGAAAGCCAAAGCCCCACCTCATGGGACTGAAGCCCAGGTCGTTGTGCCCCGCCACCCAGGGCTGAAGCCAAAGCCTGAGCAATTTAGCTTCAAGGGGGCCCCTGTGGCATGGGGCCCCGGGCAATTGCCATGCTTGCTACCCCCTAATGCCAGCCTTGGCTGTTATATGCAGAAAACAAGTTGTTGTGGCACAGGTGGGCCATGGAGTTTTTATAGCATGTTGGGGGGGCCTTGGAAAGAAAAAGGTTGAGAACCCCAGGAGTAAGGTACTACTCATTGTGAGCAAGAATATCATAATTTGGCACTCAGTAATTATGGTAAGCAGCAGAAACCCGCTCCCCCAAAGGAAACATCTCTATTTTAAACAAGAAGTGGGAGGAGGCTGAGGGAGGCCTGTAGTGGCCCAGGGTAGAAGCCCAGGTTACTTGTTATTTTTAGTTGTTTATTAAGATACTGCTAATTTCTCTCTCCCCCTACACACACTGCAGTCACACTGGCTTCAGTGCATGTTCTGCATTCATTAGGCTTGCAGAATAGAATCTTGTGTCTGTCATTCTGAGTCCCTCCCTCTGTCTTTCTCTTCTCTAATGTACTTTCCTTCTTTCTATCACGTAAGGGCTTCCTGGAGATTCTGCCCCATACTAGAATCCAATTCAATGCAACTTCAGTTTGTACAGCATCTTCCAGTCTATCCCAGAATGCTTCACTGAGCTGAACAAAACAATGAAAGAAAGGAGTAGCAGGGGGAGAGGAATGAAGAGGTATAAGATGCAAGGAAGAAAGATCTGTTTTCAGATGAGACTTAGTAAGTGGCAGAGCATTGAGTGGAGCAGTGCAGATAACTGATTTTTCAGTGTGCTGACCAAAACAAAAAATGAAATTTTAAAAAAATAACTTTGGGCCAATGGAGGCAAATCGAAAAAGTTGTTTACAAAATTCTTTTGGGTCAAATAAAACATTTTTTTTTTACCTGAAATGAAATGTTTCATTTTGGTTTTGAGTTTTTTAAGGTTTTTTTTACAAATAAAATTGAAGTCAAATACTAAAAAAAAATTGAACCGTTTCATTTAAAAAATGTCAAAACAAAATGTTGTGACTTTGGGGGACTTTTTTGGGGGGGGGGTTGGCTGGTGGGTTTGATTTTCTTCCAACTGAAAACATCTGGTGAACTCAACACAAATTTGCTCAATGTTTCAGCCAACCCATAACTGCAATTTTCTATGAAAAAATGTTTGTCCAAAAATTTTTGCCCAGCTCTAGTGTTGAGGAGACAGAGCAGCACAGGAAGCCCTGTCAGGCAGCAGGAGCTTCAGAGGAGAAGCAGCACTGACACTGTTCTGTGAAAGGACAGAGGGGAGGTCATTG